ACCCCACCTCTGATTAGTATTGTGATCTGACTGAAGCTTCTTCAACTCTGCTTCAGTTTCTTTACTTCACTGGGGTGCAGTAAGGAAGAGTGGGATAATGTAGAAAGCAATGTGCTTTAAACACAACACACATACACACACACACATACACACACACGCAGCACAAAAAATCTCCTGGACAAAGAGATTGCTTTTTTTCCCATCCTTTGCTAGGATTCTAAGAATGGAGCCTATCAGTTCAAATGGCTCCCTGACTTAGAATCTTGATTTTCACTTAAGTTCTTAATTTTCCATCTTTAGTTTCTGTTCAGTCTAAATTCTATGCTAATTATAGGATATTAATATATTCTATTGTGATAGTAAATTATATAAATACAAGTTACTTCTTAAAACTTGATGCTTTTTTTTTTTTTGAGACAGGGTCTCCCTGTAGCCCCAGCTGTCCTGGAACTTACTATGTAGACCAGGCTGGTCTTGAACTCACAGAGATCCGTCTGCCTCTGCCTCTGCCTCCCGAGTGCTGGGATTAAATGTGCCACCACAAACTCTTGAATCCTTAAGACCTTAGATTTAATTCATTCATCTGTTCACTTATTCAGCAAACCCCAGTGAGCACTTCAGGTGTTAGGTACAGTACCAGGCACTAGGAATATAATACAGAGCAACAAAGCGGGCATAGACTCTGCATTTCAGGAGCTGAGAGCCTTACAATGAAAACAGATAAAGGTTAATAAATACAGACCAGTGAGATGGTTCAGTGGGTAGAAGTTCTTGCCATGCAAACCTGAGGACCTGAGTTCAATCTCTGAACCCCAGGGTAGAAGGAGAGGACCACCTTCTGAAAGCTGGCCTCTGACTTCCACAGGCACACCAGGTTTGTGTGCACACAAACACACACAATAGTAATAAAATAAAAGTTTTTAAAAAGTTAATAATAACACATTGCAAACCGTAAGAAATGAGAGGGAATAATGGTGGAAGGATGAAGAACCCAGGAAGGGGCCATTCTCACAGTGGCCATGGAGGGCTTCATGTGAAGGTGGCACTTTCACCGGGCCTGGAAGAGAAAGCAAGAGTTTTCTAGAGGGACATGCATTCCTTTGAGAAATGGGAGGGCCTTCATCAGTTGAGAGGTCTGGGCCATCTTCAAATTCTCTGCCTAGATCCTCCAGTGCAACTTCTTGGGCTGTGGAGATTCCATGTCTGAGGTGGAATCCTCTAAAACTGATGACTGATTTTTTTTTTTTTTTCCCTATCCAATCTGAAGAGCTCCAAGCTTGATGTGACACAGGACATCTCGAAGCCTTAGCGCCACTGGCTTGTTCCCTTGGGGCCTGGAGGTCAGTTTCATCTCTAATTGAGTTCAGAGAGTAATAAACTGTCCATAGACTGCCTTGCCCTTGACATTAAAGCACAGTCAGTTAATTCTAACTTCAGGGATTGCTCATAATGCTTAACACCATGGACAATAGTGGACATTTAAATCTCAGCCTCTACCTTCTGAAGACTCTGATTAATCTTTGGGAAAGGAAAAGAAAAATTTGAGATAAGATCTTGCTATATAGCCCAGACTGACCTCAAACTCACAATCTTCCTGCCCCAGCCTCTCAACTGCTAGGATTACTGGCATGTGCCACCATACCCAATTGGGGAAGGAAAGAACTTCAAAGCTTTTTCTCTATACTTCCCTCTCTGTATGCAGATGCACACACATACCAGCAGGCTGGACAACTGGTCCTGATGCATCTCAGGGACTTATAGAAAATAACAAACATCAAATTTCTCATAAACTAGTTTTCCTACTTAGTGTATTGCTGCAAGCACCATTTGCATAGTAATGGGTTCAAAAGAGGGGAATACAAGGGCACCATCTCCCCACCTACAATTTTCTGGGGACTGAGCCAGGTGCTTTGGGGGTGATTTGCTGTCTTGCTTACTCCTTGCAACCACCCTGAGAGGATGATTGAGATATGACCATTTAGCAAGGGAAAGTGTTTGTCTCTTGTCACAGCCAATAAGTAGTGGATCAGAAATTCAAAGCTAACTCTGACTGGTCCCATAACCATTTCTCTCTATAGTATGTGAGTCTGAGGGACTTGGAGCTTTCTGAAAACTTGAGAATAACTAAGCTCCCTTTGGGGATGATCACTTTCTCTAAGAGGACTGCTAATGAGATTCCCCAACCTCTTGGGAAGCTGCTTTCCAACAAGTCTATTTATGTCTGTTTTTCCTTATTCTCTTATTATATGGTGGTAGTTTTGTCCAATCTTAAGTTCCTAGGGTTCAAGGACTTTCATTCAAATGATGTATGTGTGTCACTTAATGATGATCTTTTGATGGTTACTAAGAAAAAGCTGATAGAATACCAGTACGTCTACAGCTTTAGATGTCTCTTTGTCCTGTGTCACATCACATTTGACTCTTAAGATTGAGCTAAATTCTGTCTGCTGAAAAGTAATAGGTATGTAAGATGGAAGCAGATCCACCAACAAGTGTTTTCTAATGACCTATTCTATGTCAGGAATTGTGTTAATGACTAAAAAGGAAATGAAAGGTCACCTATTAATTCCGATCCAAAATTAACTTGTAATGACATTAGGTGCTGACTTCTGATACCAGGAATAAATGTAGCTGGAAATCAGAAACAAACAAGTTAGAAATATACAAGAAGATTAATGCCTAGGCCAAGAAGCAGTGCATTAAGGGAGCAATGAGTATGGCCTGATAGAAGTTCAAACATAGATTGCCTGGAGAACGTGTTCTGGAAGCATGTAAAGAAATGGTGACATGAAGTCCTTCCCATTGTTGTACATTCAGTGTCCTTTAGACCCCCATTCTGGAGGCTGTGCAGCAGGGGCCCTAGGGTGCATGCACATGTTCCTGCGAGCACACAGGCTTTCTGTGTGAGAAAATGATTTTCAGTCTTGGAACATTTCCCCACAGATTATTTTAAATTCTTTTATAAGACTGTACTAGACTATCAGGTTTTGATCCTAGTGATCTGCCAACTATGATTTTTAAAGTAGGATTTTAACAGCTTTAAAACAAATGTACTGTGTCTAGGGTTGTTGCCCAGTGGTAAGCACTTACCTAACTTATTCAAGGCTATAGGCTCAATCTCGGGCACCATTTTTTCTTTAAAGACACAGAGACTGGAGAGATGGCTCAGCAGTTATGAGCACTGGCTGCTCTTGCAAGGGACCCAGGTCCAGTTCCCAGCACCCACATGGTAGTTAGCAACATTAACTCTAGTTCCAGGGAATCCAGCGCCCTCTTCTGGCCCCTGCTGGCATTGTATGTGCATGGTGTGTGTGTGTGTGTGTGTGTGTGTGTAACACTCATAAAATAAAATAGGTATATATTTTACTATTTATTACTTTAATTTCATTTATCTAGCCCTGGCTTGCCCACGTCTTCCCATGCTTATGACTACTGAGTGTTTATTCTTGGCTCCTTCTTCCAGGGCCTAGAGTTCCCTTCAGCAGTCCACATGAGTAGATCCTCTACTATCTGAGCCTCATGCTTAACACTCCAGAGTTGCCTTCTAGGCCACATTGAGCTGACCTCAGAGAAGATTGTGAACCACCTTTTCCAAGGAAGGTGGCTCTGAATGAGCAGAGGTCACAAAGGCCGCTGTTCTAGCACTCACAATGTGTTTTAGCATGATTGCCTCTGAGCTAGAATGAGCAACAAGTTAATTCATTATTTCCCAGACCCATCATTAAGAGTCTTCATCCTCTAATCATAAATTAAATATGCAGGAGGTATGGTGATGACACCTGTGTTTTTCACATGATTTATAGAAATCGCTTTCATCCTTGATAGATGATCTTATCTGCCACTATCTCACCCTGCTTTTCTGTTCTGAGTCTTTGTAGGGAATCCCCATGAGGCTGTGGAGGGAGCATTGGCATATGGCATGAGCAGTGCTTAGAGAAGGGGGTAGAGCCTGGGCTGCTGCCTTCAATGACCACACCAGGGAACCTGGGAGTCTCCATCAGCTCCACCCCCCCACCCCTCCACCTCAAAACCCCAGAGTGCAAGAGGCCACTCACAGTCTCAGAGAAACTTGCCATAAGCCTCTTCCAGGGGGAGGAGAAAGCATTGCTTACTCATGTACAACCTGGTTTAGGCACTTTCCTGCCATCTGAGAAACTGATTCTGGGAATTTGCACAGAGCTGTTCATCGTGAAAGCAGCTTTGCGCCCCAGAGTGTCCAACCTTTGAAAAAAAAAAAAAAGTTGCTGTGCCAGGGAAGCAGTGAGCTTGTAGGACCATCAAAAAAGAACTTGGGTCTCCTGGTCTTGGTATCTGGATTTCAAATAACAATCTGTTCTGGCAAGCTATAATTACTTCATGTTTCTTTTTTAAAGTCGAACCATCTAACTCCAACTCAGAACAGTTCTGCCAGTAAAATAGTGTCATCCAAGTAAAATAATGCTGATCACGTGATTTGAGCCGAAGATTCAAGCATAACCAGAATATTTATTTCTGTCAGGCTCACTTCCTTACCCCCACCTTTAGCCTTTACATTTAGTAGAGAAATTCAGAGGTGAAGCAAGGGGGGATATTTTGAAAGCAACAGAGGTTGGAAATAGAGCTGTCACTTTCATTGGTCTTCCTGAAATGGTGCTATAGGCCAGGCAGGTGGCATACACCTCTAATCCTAGTACTTGGGATGGGGAGGCAAAAGGATCAGGAGTTTAAGGCCAGCCTCAGCTACATAAGACCATCTCAAAAAAGAGTTAAAAAAAATAAAGTTTGGGGGCTGGAGAGATATCTGGCTCAGTGGTTAAGAACACTTACTGTTCTTGCAGAAGACCCAGGTTCGAATTCCAGCACCCACATAGCAGCTAACAACTGTCCATAACTCCAGTCCCAGGGGATCCGACAGCTTCTTCTGACCTCCTGGGCATTGCATGACATGGATGCACTTACCTACATGCAGGCATAACACTTAAACACATAAAAACTAAAAATAACAAAATAAATAAAGTTTCAAGACTATATTTTCAGGAATCATTTCTGTAGTTCATTACTACAGAAGTTTCTCTGACTGTGTAGAGTACCACGAGGAGGAGACATAGCATTCTCTCCTAGCGTGAAGTTAGCTCTTGGTGTTGCTTCGTTGCAACTGTCATTTGCCATTGATGATCGTGCTTTTCTCTTTTGGGAGAGTAGAGGGAAAGGATGCAGTCTGAGTGGGGGAAAAAAAAAGAAAAGAAAGTTTCAACTTTTATTTTATTTATTTTTTTATTTTGTCTTTTTGAGGCAAGTTGCCCTGGAGCCCCAGCTAGCCTGGAAATCACTGTGTAAACCAGGCTGGCCTTGAACTCCCAGAGATCCACCTGCTTCTGTTGGGACTAAAGGTGTGAGCCACCACACCTGACTTTATTTTATTTTTATTTATTTTTTTATCTTATGTGTATGAATGTATTGCATGCATGTCTGTAAATGCACCAGTGCTGGGCATTGCTCACGTAGGTCAGAAAAGGACATTGGATTCCCCAGAACCAGAGTTATAGACTGTTGTTAGCTGCCATGTGGGTGCTGGGAATTGAACCCAGTTCCTTTGCAAGAACAGCTGGTGCTTTTTTTTTTTTTTTTTTTTTTTTTTTTTTTTACGCGGGTTTCCCTGGAAGAGGAGGAGGAGGAGGAGGAGGAAGAGACAAGTGGCTCTGAGCATTGGATGCAGCAGCACCCTCAGCTCCCACTTGTTCGTCCATCCACTCTGGTGTTACATTTGCACAGGGAACATGAGTTGCCATTAGGCCTCTCTGGTATGCTTTCTATACCTCTGTTCTCACCATCACAAGATTTACGTGTGTTTCCCAAGTCTGTTAATGCCTGTTGAACTTGTATAATTTAAGTATTTACATAAAAAGATTTTTTTTTAAATCAGAATTAAACTGGGGTCTTCAGAGAGCTTGAAAAAGATAAATTGCTAAAGAAAACTTGACCTAGGCCTACGACTTAAAGTTTAGAGGAGATTAAAAAGTTCTAGGGCCAGGCACGGTGGTGTACACCTTTAGTCCCAGCACTCGGAGACAGAGGCAGGCAGATCTCTGTGAGGCCAGCCTGGTCTACATGGCAAGTACCAGGCCAGCTGGGCTACAGGGAGACTCTGTCTCAAAAAGACCAAAAAAATAGTTCTAGAAACCCATTGTTTTCAAATTGCCTCATGTCATTAAAATATTGTTCCACTTTTAAGGAAACTGATGGCGGATACAATGCACTGCGGATATAGACTAAGAGTTAACTTGGAAAACCAGAAGTGTGTCAGGGAAAACTCTGTGGCTTCTAGTACTTTGAGCAGCAGGCACTGAGGTTCACTGGTGCCTTTCTTTGTAATTTGCTATAACAAGGACTTGTGGCTGCAAGACTTTTTCACATGAGTGCTCTCTTCCCTGGCATGACCTTTCTACCTTCAGAGTAGGGAAAGATCTACCTGTCCTGGATAACTTGTGGTGCTTTCGTGTTGAGGAAGAATCTAGTTTCAGGGGCAACCAAGTGGTAGGGGAGAGGGAAGGAGTGGCAGGTAGACCTTTCCAGCTAGGGTAAGCCTGGTTTTGCATGTTTTATACATTGAAGATTCTTGGTAAACGTATCTGGTAAAAGAATTCCTTCCTCTTCTTTAAATCAAGATCGGAAATTACAAGGTTAAGTCGTTTCTCTGCCTTTCTTTTCATCTATAAAACTGATTCTAAGCTCTCCCCGAGTGAGACCAGGGGACATATTTCTAGTACCCAAGGTGTATACTGTATGCATTCATTTGCAGTTTATTTGGAGTGATAATAGTTGGATTTTATATTTACACAAACCTGACACTTGGTTGATGTCCAGGGGCTAACACTTCCAAGGGCTGTCTCACTAAAGCCATGCTCTTCCAAATGAGGGCTGGAGGGTGGGGTAGAAATGTGAGAACTCCCTTTCTAGACTGAGCAGTGGTCAGCACCTACCTAACCTCAGACCTGTCTGGATAGGAGGAAGAGCAGGATGTTTTTGTTCCTGTCTGTGACCTGAAGGCAGCTTTTCTAGAAACAAAACCAGTTTGATTTTGATTAACTTTCTTGTTCTTTAATTTCAGCCTTCCTTCTTTTGACTTCTTTTAGCATTATGCCAAAAGCACAGACTGATCCTAAAGCTTCAGAACAGGTTTCACTCATAGTTGCCCAAGAAAAGCATGTTAATAACCAAAGTAATTTCCTAGCCAGTCATTTCCTGTGTTCTCAAACTTGTTTTTTTCCCCCCAAGATCTGTATCTTTAGATAACAAAAACTGTTCTTGCTTTTGACCCTGGGGGAGGTAATGTGGAAGGTTTTTTGTTTTGTTTTTGAGATGGGGGTCTCCCTAATATAACCTAGGATAGCCTTGAACTTGTGATCCTCCTGCCTCAGGCTCCAGAGTGCTGAGATTATAGCCATGTCCCCACTACCCAGGTTTTCAGAAGCTCAATAAAAGGACCCTTAAGAGAAGCAGGAAAAGAATTAATGTCTTTAAGCATTTACCTAGCCAGTGCCTTAAGTTTAGCCTACACTAGAGTACATTTTTGGTACTTAACTGAAGACCTGACTTTACCACTGATTTGTTCCATGAACTAAGGCAAAGCTTTCTCCCTGTTTGAAGGCTGCCCTGCCAGGAGCTGTGAGCTTCGTAATGGAGGTGAGACAGTTTGGAGAGAATAGAATTTTATCTGAATAGAAAGTGCATCAGTAAGGATTTGCCACAAATATACAATTCACTGTCATGGGCGTATTGAAAACCAGCTCCCGCTAGTTAAAAAAAAAAAACGGTAAGGTAGTCATATTTTGCAAAGCACTATAGAGATTCAATTGTGAATCTGTAAAATTGGGTAGGACATTTGCTTTTCAGAAATGTTTGGTGAATCTGGCATTTGTAGGTGACAGCTCCAGAGGTTTAAATCTTTTCTGTTCCCTATTATTCTTTCCTCTATTATCCTGCATCACGTGCAGCATGAAATGCCTGAGGCAGATAGGTGCTTTTTTACTTCCCTGAACACCTGGATTTCTCTGGTAAAAATGCTTTACATCATTCACTTGTGGCTTAAGAATTAAGGCTCCCTTTTGTTTTCATTCTTTTTGTTCAAAGCTTTGTTGTAGGTGAGAGATGTGCTTACTTTCACAGGCACGGAGACTCACTCATAAAAATGAAGGTCTTTCACATTGCATTAGCTGGGCTTTTGCTCCAACACCGACCTTTGACCCCTACACACAATGTGGTATTCAGCTGTCCTGTTCTCTGAAGTGAAAACCTTCAGAGCCCTCAACAAAGATATTTCACTGGGAGTAAACAGTCCATGAACTAAATGACTTAGGAAAGCGGTTGGTTTTGAAATAAAGATGAAGGCAAGAGGTCTATAAAAATTACAATGCCCTCCAAATCCCTGATCGCTCATTTCCCCTGCCCCGTGGTGGGACTGAAGACTCAACTTTTTTAAGACTTGGATGACAGAGACAAGTGAACTTTCTATTCCATGGAATTCCTTAATGGATTTCTTTAGTCAAACTTGCCCAGTGTTCCTTGCTAGTTAGTATTGATGAAGAAAGACAAGGGAGCTTTAGTGGGGGGAGGAAGCTGTTCAGAATGCAGGACTCTAGAAGGCCTCTGGGGAACACTTCTTTGAAATCCTTAACAAGCACTCTTATTCTAAGGGTCTCAAAGATGTAAGCATTTAGGGGCTGGTGGCAGAAAGAAACACATGTTCCCAGTCACTGTAGATAAAGTGCTAAGAAGGTAATGGATTATAGCTTTCACTTTATTTTTCTTAGTACTCTCTAGAAATGTAAGGAAAGACTTAAGACTTATGAACAAGTTTTGGGTGTTTAATTGTAAGGTTGGGTGAAGACAGGGAGACAGAGAGGCGAGGTAGGGAAAAGTCATAGTTTGGGTTACACACACTGAAAAAAATCATTTCTAAGGACTGAGTTCAGAATATTTGTCTGCCAGTTGTGCAAAGGCGTCCAGATTTCCGTGGTGTGAGGAAACTGCTCTTTCACTGTGTCTACCTCACAGTGGTCACTTGCAAATTTTTCCCCCATGAAGCTTTATTTTTGGAGACCACTGTAATTTACATGCTGGGACCTATTATTAACTGCTAGTTTTATGCTGTTATTGGAAATCTTTACATTGGGAAAGAATGTATGGGCTGTGTGCTTTGGGGCTCAAATGAAAGGTTACCTTGTATAGTGTCTCAGATCTGTCTAGAATGTGAGAATGGATGAGAAGCCATTTGCTTCCCCCAAATAAAGAAAATTCTGCTGGTCCCTCATGACTGTCTTCCCAAAGGAAGAGCATCGTGTATCTAAGGAGACGGTCCTATTTCATGGAAAAAGATGATCATGTAATCCTTTTTAAATGTCTGTTTCAGAGCCACTATAGCATAACTCCAGCAGTTCCTCCTGGGAAACAGAATTGATGCCCCCTCCCCACAAAAGCTACATTGCATATTTTATAAATGTAAAAAGCAGAAGCAGTTGTGTTATATTAAATTTCAGCCCATAATTGAGTAACTAGAGAAGCCTCTATTTAATTAAATTCCACTATCCAGTGTATGACAGGAAAATTTAGTGGCCTTATGTTTGACTACTGTCTGGGCGTAAAGAGTGGTTAAAGTGTCTTTCAGATGTCCTTATTAGAGAAAGGGATTGAGCGATGCTTTACCTCAATAGTGCTTCTGCAGTGAGTCCTTCAAAATGACAGAGCTCAGCTCCAACACTGTTTTCTTTGGGCAATTGAAATGTTTCCCACAGAAATGGCAAGGCTTCGGGGGCTTAAGAGGCTCTTAAGATAGGTCAAGTAACTTTACACACAAACAGTTACAGCAAATTCTGCTTCCACCTTGCCATTTTTAATCTGTTTTGAGCAACTGCATAGGAAGATGTTCCCAAAACACATTGGCAGCTACCGGAAGGGTTGGCTTCTGTTTAGCAAGTTAAAGGTTTAGGGTTATTATTGTTAAGCTAAAGAAGGAGCTAATAATTAGATCCTGGTATGACTTTCCCAACGATGGAACTTCAGTATGTACTGAAGTTATTAAACTCTTAGAATTAAGCGGACAGTTATGGCAGGTAAAAGAAGGGGAAAGTAAAGGAAGGCTAAAACTTCTAATAAAACTGTTAAAGAAAATGCTTAGCAAATGTTGTCTTTCTATATTGTCTTCCTTCCTGACAGATATACTGTAGTCTT